GCAATATTTTCATGCTAGTTTTTAAAATGAGTTTCTTAATCCCTGTCTAAAGTTGTAAAATATTGTTAATTCCTAAAAATCATCTCACAATAAAAACAAAATTTCCTACTTTGTTTTTATAGTGAGAAACCCCAATTTGTTGCTCTTTTAAATAGTATCACAATATATTTTATCTTTTACATATTTTGGTTCAAAATAATTTGTCTTTAATTTGATTTGTCCTAGAAAATGAGTGATGTGCTAAGACGGGAAGTAACAATGGAGCAGTTGGCAATAAAGGTATAACGCAAATGTTCATTAATAAAACTGATTAGAGGATGTACACTGGTATAGATAGGAACTAGAAACACAGGGAATCCAGGACAGACGAAACCCTCAGGACCAGTGGTGAGAGTGGCGATACTGGGAGCGTAAAGGGAGAGTGAGATGGAAAGGGGGAACCGATTACAAGGATCTACCTATAACTTCCTCCCTGGGAGATGGACAACAGAAAAGTGGGTGCAGGGAGACGTTGGACAGTGCAAGATATGACAAAATAATAATATATAAATTATCAAGGGTTCATGAGGGAGGGGGAAACGGGGAGAGAGGAGAAAAAATGAGGAGCTGATGCCAGGGGCTTAGGTGAAGAGCAAATGTTTTGAGAATTATGAGGGCAATGAATGTACAAATGTGCTTTACACAACTGATGTATGTATGGATTGTGATAAGAGTTATATAAGGCCCCAATAAAATGATTTAAAAATAAATAAATGATTTTAAAAAATAAGTAAAATAAAACTGATTAGAATATTCAAGTCAATCCGCTGTTATCTGTACCAGTGTACATACTCTGGTCTAGCCAGATTTGTAAGGTAGAAATGGGGTCATGATGGGGGTGGGGGATCACTGAAGAACTACAGGAATGTTGTGTGTTTCGTCAGTGCGATACTACACCCTGGCTGACTTGTCCCTTCCTTGTGATCCTTCTGTGAGGGGCATCCAATTGTCTATAGGTAGGCTTTAGGTCTCCACTCTGACCCCCCTCATTCACCTTCATATAATTATTTGTTTTGGATCTTCTTATACCTGACGCCATCATCACCTGGTGATCACACAGGCTGGTGTGAATAGCAAAGTATTTTCAATAAAAAAGGTAGAACATACTATGTATGACCCATATGTGAAAATTGGTCTATTTACAGGTAAGCAGTTTTCTAATAAGCAGACAAGCCCAGTGTAGATACAATTTTAACACTGAATTAAGGCACTCTACTCTGAACAGATGCACCCTACTCCTAACCAAAGTCCGCAAAATTGAGATAAGAGATTTGAGACATCTTCCATGAGAGGAGACAATTTCCTCTTTCTCCCAAACCAAATTCATCACCATTAAGTCAATTCTAACTCCCAGCAACCCTACAGAACAGCATAGAACTGCCTCTGTGGGTTTCCTCGACTATAACTCTGCCTGGGCATAGAGAGCCTCATCTTTCTCTCACAGAGCGGCTGGTGGTTTAAGCTGCTAACTTTGTAGTTAGCAGCCCAATGCACAACCACTATGCCACCAGGGCTCCTTCTAGAATGTTCCTTCAGACATCTTTTTCCTCACCTAGAAACGTGTTTCTCTCACTGTCCCCAAACAATAGGACAAGTTAGTACCAGGACTAAAATTCTAACCAAAATGAAAACTCATTCTTTATTTCCTCTCTCTATTTAAGACTATGTAACCAGATATATCCTTAGATTAAAAAGTAATACCTTTATGCCCTTGGGTGTCTTGAGACATACTGCTTCCTTCTGTAATCTCAACTTGCTCATACCACTGTTTTCCTGAAGGCGAAGTTTCTGGTCCACTTAAAGGCGAAAGTGACCTAGATCTCATATTGGACATAAGAGAAGTTGGACGAGGAGTGCGAGATGACGGTGGTATCTTTGCTCTGGAGGGTGCTCTTTGTGGAGGGCCTTTCTTCATTGCAAGAATAAAGTCTGGTGTCCATCAAAACCTACAAGCATTTTGAGTAGATTTAATGAGCTATCAAAACTATTAACTTATTCCTAAGACATCACGATTAAATTCTCAACAGCACATAGTTATACACTCACAGGCTACCCATACTAGGACTAATTGAAACATTGCTAATCATCTGGGCAGAGAGTCTTATATTGTTAATTAAATGCTCCAGCCCAAAGTGATGCCTATTCATTTCTGTTCCCAATTCAGTGGAAAGAACTTCTCACAGGCCTTTTCTACCCACAAGGAGTCCTCGAAAGGAAGAAACTGGATGGACACATATGGCAACCAGGAATATTTGATACAGATCAGGACTCTTTTGTTCTTAACAGTTTCTTCCTTTGGCTTCTGGCTCTCCACACTTTTCTAGGACACCGCTTGCCTTCCTGGACAGCCTTCCTTCTGAACCTCTGTTGTGGGCACATGCACCTGTATTCAACCATCAAAAGTTAGAGGTTCTCAAAGCTCCCTTCGAATGTCCCTCTAATCTCACCTTAGACAATGTATGTAATGCAGATCCATGGCTCCCAGCTGCTTACTTGATGTCTCATCGGCATCTTAAGCTCAAGAGGCCCAAATTTGAATTCTTCAGTTTCTCCCAAAATCCCCTCACCCTCCTCCTGCCAGGTTCCTCCTGCACTGTTCCCTACCTAACACTCACAAAATAAACCTACTTATTTTGTAGGAAATCATTTTTGAAATTTTGTAGGAAATCATTTTTGAACTCATTCTCTCCTTTTTTCCCCAAACCCAGTCATCAAGTCCTGTCAATTCCACCTTCTTAAATCTCCCAAATCTTCCCATCCTTCTAGTCTATTTCAAACCTAGTCCTCATTAAAATACTATCATAGTTTCCAACTACCAATAAACTCTCGTCTTCCTCTATGCCAGGGTACTCAAACTTTTTAAAGAGGGGGCCAGTTCACTGTCCCTTAGACTGTTGGAGGGCCGGATTATAGTTTAAAAAGAAACTATGAACAAATTCCTATGCACACTGGATGAGTCGGCTAAGCAGGACAGGCAGCAGTGGCAAAAAACGCCTGGTGGGCCAGATAAATATCCTCAGCAGGCAGCATGTGGCCCAAGGGCCGCCATAGTTTGAGGACCCCTGCTCTATGCCATCATTATTCTGCAGTCAGAAAACCAGAGTGATCTATTAAAAAAGTTAATCACCATATCAACCAAATGAAAGGGGACAGAGGATCATCTCAAGTGACACAGAAAAAGCATTTGATAAAAATCCCAACACTTTCTCATGATAAAGACACTCAGTAAACTAAGACTCCCTCAACATGATAAGGGCCATTGATAGGAAAAACAAAACAAAACATAGTTAACGTCATTTTCATTTGGTGAGCACCCTGACAAAACAAGCATGTTTGCTTTCACTACTGCCATTCAACACTGCACTGTAATTTATAGCCAGGGCAATTAGGGGGAAGGAAATAAATAAATAGATCGATAAATAAATAAATAACAGAATCCAAATTGAAAAAGTAGAAGTAAAACCACTTATTTTTAGAAGGTATGAACATATATGTACAAAAAACTGCTAATAAACTAAGTTCAGAAAAATTGCTAGATACAAAAATCAACATATAAATAAAAGTTGTATTCCTATAATTAAGCAATCTGAAAAGGACATTTAGAAAACAATTTCATTAACATGCATCAAAAAGAAAAAAATTTACTTAGGAAATAAATTTAACAAAGACTGGTACAATACTGGTACTGGTACAAGTCGGTACAATAAAAACTACAGTAGTGCTCCATGGAAGAATTTAAAAGAAAATCTAAATAAATGGAAAGGCAGCCTATGTTCATACGGTCGAAGACTTAGTATTGCTAAAATGGCAATATTACTCGAAGTAATATCCAGATTAAATGAAATCTCTATCAAAATCCCAAAAGGTTTTTTTTTCCTAAAATGGAAAAGCCCATCCTAAAATTCTATGCATTCAAGAAACCTGAAGAAACAAAAACAAACACAGCTAAAAGACTCTCCCTTACCAACCTCAAAACTTACTACATGTACAATTATCAAAACAGTATAGTACTGGCAGAGAATAGCTATATAGACCAATAAACTAAAAGAGAGCTCAGAAGTAAACTCTCCATGTATGGTCAACTGATTTCCAACAAGGATGCCAACCCTTAAATGCAATGGAGAACGAAGAGTCTTTTCAACACTGGTACTAGGAAAGCTAGATATTTACATAATAAGGCATTAAGTTGGATCCATACTCTTCGCTCTTCAGTCTACTCAAAACCAGTTCCCATTGAGTTGTGATTCATGGGGAAGAGTTGAACTGTGCTTCACAGGGTTTTCAGTGGCTGATATTTTGGAAGTAACATACCAAACTTTTCTTCCATGGATCCATTTGCTGGACTCAAACAGCCAACCTTTTGGTTAGTATTCCAGTGCATAATTTATTGTCTGCCTGCACATAACGTGTCCATGTAAACACCACACACACACACACAAACATGCATACTGTGCATAAGAAACTAATACAGGGGGTTTCACAGAACCACTTAGTGGTGCATTATTTGTGTAAAAAATATGGTAATGTACCCTGTCTACTCAGATACCCTAAAACCCAAACCTCCCATGCCTTTCCATCAACTTTTCAGTCACTACATTTTATTGAGCAACTTCTATGCGCCACAAAGTATGGTAGGCTCTACGCTGCAAAGATGAGAAAGCAGGGTTCCTACACTCAAGAATCGAAACAGGATTAAACCCTCCTATCATATATAGTGTCTCTACCAAGTCGTCTCCATCTGAACAGTTTGATACACAATAGATATCTGTTGAATGAATGAACTTGAAAGACATGACCAAATTTGAGTCTTCACAGATCCTCTATAAAGTAGAATTATTAACCTCATTTTGCAAGTGGCATTCTATCATTAAAATTAAGAGTTTGGATTCTGGAACCACACAGTTAGGTTTTCCACTTTCTGTGACATTAGGCCAAAAACAGGTAAGATAAGTGAACTGATATAGGTGAAGTCCTTACAACTGTATCTGACACAGAGGAAGCACTCCGAAGTCATTAGCAATTATTTTCGACAAATGCGGATCAGAAAGAAATAGGCCCAAAGTCATAAGGCCGTCAAATGACACGCACAAAGTGGCACGGTCAAGCTATTAACCAAATCTTCAAAATCTACCAGTCCCTCGATCATTACACCAGCCAATCTCCACTCTTGCCTTCCTTGGCCTTTCGGTCCTCGGATCCTCTCTGGCCCCGGGCTGTCTGTCCGTACGTCGAGCCCCGGCCAGGCCACCGAAAGCATCCTTCATCCCTGCGCGGCTCCCGGACACCCCGCACACTTCACCGCCCTCCCCCACAGCCGTCCGTCAGCACCCCCACCCCGACCTCCACCCGTCTCCAGGTAACCTCCCCGCCCCCGCGCCCTCCCCACACCTCCAGCCGGCCCTCCAACCTTCCCATCCAATCCCAAATCCCAGGTCCACGCCCCGCCCGCATCCCGGGCCAGCCCACCGCTCTCCTGGTCGGGCCCTCCCGCCTTGGCTCCGGCTCCCCGCTCCTTCCGGATGCCCGGGAACGGTCTCGACGGAGGCCGGCACGCACTGCCCGGAGCCAGGCCGAGCGACGGGGCCGGTCGAGGCGGCGGAGCCCGAGGCGACGTCGTCCTTCCTCCTCAGGCGCCCAGCGGCGCGGCGGCCATTTTGTCGTGTTGTGCCGGTTGCCGAGGGGCCGGGCGCGTGGTAGGCGTGGTCTCGGGCCACGCCCCCTCCACGGCCCGCGGGGCAGGGGGTGGAGCTGAGGTTCCCGCCGTCTTTGGCGCCTCAGCCTCCGCCGCGCCGGGGCGCCGGGTTCGCCCCAAGGTCGCGCGGCCTCGGCGAGCTTTCCCGCCTAAATGGCCCGCAGCATTACCACGTCACGGAAGCGTGGTTGCGGATGCTTCGGCCTCCGCTCGACTTTGGGGAGCTGGGGCGGACCGCGGCCACAGAGACCCGCTGGATGCTGTCACCAGCCTTCCCCGCTTCTGACGCTGGCGACCGACCTTGAAGCTGTGTGCCCTGCCGCCCGCTTCTAGAATGGGTTCTTTCTGAGGTGAATTCTCGGCGGACACCAGGCCGGGGGGGCCCTCCCCTGGAGCTCGGACGCCAGCTGTCAGCCACCTGGCAATCCGGGCAGAGCATAGGCCCGATTCCCGGGGCCTCCGGGGGGGACCATGCCCCTGACGGGTAGCAGGAAACAAAGCCAAGAGACCCCGAAAGCCAGCACATCACCACCGAAGCGTCCTGCAGCTATTTCCCGAAGATGTGCTAGATTCTTTGCTGGATGCCAGGGAAACAAGTGAGCTTTTGCTTTTAAACGTCATCATCAATGACACCTTCTTCCACTCCGGCCTCCCACTTCTGGAGGACCTGGTCATTAGACAGCAGCATCCTCCCCACCCGCCCAATGTCACGACCTCCGCTATCATCACTCTCTAATTTTGATAGTCGGTTTGCTCAAACGGCCCCAGCCCAGTTCTCTACTTCCTGTGACATCCAATCCCTTGTTCATACCATTTCCTTCCAATTGGCATTGCCCTTCACCGCGGAGTTCACAATCCATCTGTCGCCCTTTTAGAAATCCTAAGTGCCTTCCTTTTCTCCTCTAGGAAAAGGATACGTGTCGCCTGCAGTTTTCCTGAGAATTAAGGCTAAGATATGTGAAAGAACTGAGAACAATGCCTGGTCCATATTTTTTCCCTTTCAAGTTTTAGTTGTTGTATTAGTTATCAGAGGTTTCCCTTGAGGAAGTGGTATCTGATCCTAGACCTGAAAAGGGGAATTTACTTAAGTGGTAAGAGAATGGGAAAGTTCAGTAAACGGAAAAAGTTGCATAAAACCTAAAGAGGAGGACAAAAGAAAAAGAATGGCCAGGGGGCTGAAATTAAGTAGTTGCTGGAGCAAAAATCTAGTGGAGAAGCTAAAGCTGGGAGAGGCCTGGATAAGCCACACTGGTACCCTGTTTCCCCAAAAGTAAGACATCCCCCGAAAACAAGACCTACTTACAGTTTTGCCTCTCGCTGAAATATAAGGCATCCTCCCAAAAATAAGACCTCCCTGAAATAAGGGCCATGCCCCTCCCCCCCCCAAGCTACCGTAACTCTGGATTCGACCTTTGCAGCTCAGGCTGCAGTGCAGCTGGAGCAGAGAGGAAGTGCTAGGTTTCTTTTAATAAAACAATAAATGTGTGCCGTATTCTTCATGGAAAAATAAGATGTCCCCTGAAAATAAGACCTAGCGCATCTTTGGGAGCAAAAATTAATGTAAGACACTGTCTTATTTTTGGAGAAACGGTACCAGTTGCCATTGAGTGAGTGGATGCCTACTCATGGGAACAACGTGTTGGTAAGACTAGAACTGTGCTCCATTTTCATTTATTTGTTACTAATGATTTGTTCTTGTAAATTAAAGCATACACAAATTACAATGTCTGCATATATAAGCCAGTGACACTGACTACATTCTCCAAGTTGGGCAACCATTCTCACTCTCCTTTTCTGAAGAAAATACCAGAGAGGCGGGG